GAGATAGAGAAGAATGCAAGATGCCTGCACACAATCGGCCAGTTCAGACAGATGTTCAACAGTAAAGTCATCGGCAAGTAACCACTGGAGTGTTTCCAGCCTCCAGGGAGGACTGCTTCTGGCCATCAAATCATCTCCATAGCTGCCTGAATAACAGACAAGCGTTTTCAAGCACGAACAAACACCGCAGAAATTATCGATAGTGGTCCCCTGAAAGTAATTGTTTCGATCTACTTCAAGGTATTCGAGGGATGGAAACATCTCGAGAAAGGGTCGGAGGTCAGCAGTTGAAATTCTTTCCTTGCTGAGGCACCCACGACTCAGGAATGACCCACCGTTGGCTACTAACTCACGTACACTTGACAGCTGACCACAAAGACTCACAATCTGTCTCAGCACCTGGTCATCTCTAAGACAACCAAGAAGCAACTCTGCTGAAATGTCGAGTGAGACCAGAGTATTCCTCTGAACAGCCAAAATAGGCAGGAATTTCAGCCTGACTACCACCCCAAAGTCGTGGGCCACGCTTGCCCTAGGAGGTCTCTCATTCAGTGATATCGTAATAGATCTGTTCACTGAAGCTATGGTGCATCGAAGGTGAGAAATGCCCACATCGCCCGTCACAATCATCTCTTCAATGTCACTCCTCTCAAGGGCCTCGCCAGAACGACCACCATTGATGATGGGTTCAAGACAAAATTGCAGGTGAACCTCCTTGAGGGAGAGCGGAACGATCAAGTCCCCACTGAGGTAGAGTTCACTGCAGCCTCTGAACCTCGTCCCCGATGGGCATGATGACCTGCCATTGGAATCTGCGAATGCCAGGGTCACATCAGCACCGGTTCTGAGATCACAGGCTCCGCAGTCATTGAGGGCATTGTCTCGACATCCCTTCGAGATGGAAAAGTGTATGCGAGCACCCGGGAACAAGGAATTGCATTTCGACCTAAGCCCAAGATACTCAGACACCTCGGACCAGTTCAGAACCACAAGTTCAAGATTGGGAAATCGGATTCCCTCATGCCATTCCACAATAAACAAAAACCTAAGAGATGCTCGTAGTTTGTGGAGGTTTTCGAAGGAAATATGGGCTTCTGAGGAGTGGTCGCATGCCCTACAGTTTGGTGGATAGTCATTCAACAAGGCAAGCTGTCTGGTGTTCCTCAGATGACGTAGCACTGAATAACAACACCTATGACACCAACCTTTGACAAAACGGACACTCGCATAGTCGAGTGATGGAAAACAGCCCACCTCCCTCTCAACGCACGCCGTACTAAGCACATTCCTCACGTGACACAGACTCAGGCTTAGACGACGCAATCTGGGCAGACGATGGCTTCCAAAGTGAATAAAATAATCCGACAGATTGAGACATTGATCGCTGAAGTCCACTGATACCACATTCACCAGAGGCATGCTGACAAATGCATTCAGAAAACTTCTTATTCCCTCTCCGTGCAGGGGTCCTCCATTCCAGAGGGCAAGTTCCACCATCGAGTCAGTCGACTGCCATAGCAGTTGCTCGATCGCCAGCTTCTTGTCCATCCAGTCATCATCTACCAATATGACGATGGGACTGTTGAGAGCGAATTGTGGGAAGGCTAGGTCGAAATTTGACTGGTCCAGACGCGATAAATATCTACACAGCCTTTTCCTCGTTGCCCTCGTTTGAATGGCAACCTGACAAGTGGATGCTGCATTATAAACTTCGGTGGTACTCACCTTGAAGCCTTGTTCGGCTGAGATACTGGAAAACGGATTGCAGTCCATAGC